ATATAATATATATATATATATATATATAATTTTATATATATAATTTTATTTTTTGCGATACCAGATAAATTGAACAGCTGTGTTTGGAAAGATTTCATTTAGATAGATTGGGATGATTAAATCCATTTCTATGCAGTGCGTTTGCATAAATCCTAATGAATTACTAGCTTATATAAATACAGCAGAGCAAAGATAAAAGTGAAATAAACAGCGCTTTATGGAGTCTAACAGTAATCAGGTGCAGAAATTAAACAATCAAACATAAAACAGCACAGTCATCATTGTAAAATTTTATTCATTCATTTTCTTTTTCGGCTTAGTCCCTTTATTAATCAGGGTTGCCACAGCGCAATGAACCGCCAACTTCTCCAGCATATGTTGTACGCAGCGGATGCCTTTTCAGCTGCAACCCATCACTGGGAAACACTCATACACTACGGACAATTTAGCGCACCCAGTTCCCTGGGAATGTGGGGGAAGCTGGAGCACATGGAGGAAACCCATGCGAACTAGGGGAGAACATGCAAACTCCACACAGAAATGCCAACTGACCCAGCCTTGAACCAGCCTGTTGGTTGCTGTGAAGCAACATTGCTTTAAAAATAATAATATCTTTATCTTTTATTCTTTAATAAATAATGTAATCCTGCACTGTGTCGGATACACTCATTGCGATATTAATGCTCAAACAATATATTGTGCAGCTCTACTTTGATAGTTGTTGGCTGCTAGTGTGATTTTCCCATTTAGAATTTGTAATGCATTTCTGAAATGATATCATCAAAGAGAAAGTCAGAATATAATACCCTAGTCCATGGTAAAACTATGGTTAAATTAGCAAAACCGTAGTTTGGCTGTGGTAAAACTGTGGTTATACAAATAGTTACTACAATTTTACTATTAAAAAAAACATGGTTCATTTATTGGGGTTTTATATTTGCACATTCAGACTTTCTCCTTAATAATATCATTTCAGACAAGTTTTCTTTGCAAAGTGTAAATAGTGAATAGCAGCCAATGACTGTCAAAGTGCAAAACATTGTTCACAATTAAAATAAATAGTGCTATAATGAAAAATAAATAGCACAGTGCAAATAAATAGTGCTGATGTTGATTTCAAGTCATACTTGCATGTGGAAAAAAGTTCTTGCTTTGAGCTTTTGTCAAAATTAAGTGAGTTTTTCCCTTAAAACAAGCTAAATAATCTGCCAATGGGGTAAGCAAATTCAAATTATTTAAAAACAAATCATCTTATTTAAAAAAAAAGTGATTATTTACTTATTTTAGGGAAAAATGTACTTAATTTTGACACATTATTTCTAAAAACAAGACAATATTTTTTACTTTTCAAGAAAATGCTTCTTTTTTTGTATATATATTTTTATTAAGTTTTTGCTTTTATATACATATAAACAAATAATAATAAATAAATAAAATAACATCCTTGCAAAATAATGATGATTCAATGACAACAACAGTTAAACAAATAACAAAAAAAAAAAAAAAAAAAGGTACAGTTCAGCTCACAAACAAAAATAGGGCTTTACAGGTGCCTATGTACATACATGGGAGTTCAGTAGGTCTGGAAAATTGAAAGAATATTGAAGTATTAATAGTAAGTGTGAAACAATCAATAAAACCAACCATGACATTCTTAAATAAATCCTCTTGTCAGGATTGAAGCAATATCAAAATCAATATATGCCAGGAAAGGTTCCCAGATTTTATGAAAAACTCCACTTTTGTTATGTACAATACATGTCAGATAATCTAACGACACATATTCAAGAATAGTTCGGTGCCACATCCTAACAGATGGAGCCTTATCCGAGATCCATTTTAAAAGTATACATTTTCTTGCATTAAAAAGAAGGAAATTGAAAAGCCTCATTTTGTACTTATCAAGACTTACAGGAGGGGACATTCCTAACAAAAAAGATGCTGGATCTGGAACCACAGAAACACCCAAAACTTTACTCACTTCTTCGGAAACCCCCAAAGAAAATGCTTCTTGATTTAAGACTTTTTTGATATTTTGGACTAGAAACGAAACAAAAACTCCAAGTAAGAAAAGTAGTCACTGAATGTATTGCCAATTTTCCCTCAATGGTGAGTAGATGTAAGTGAGAGATGTCTAACTGGTGTGTGTGGTGCAGGATGAGCCGCTTTCTGAACGTGTTGAGGAGCTGGCTGCTGATGGTGTCTGTGATCGCGGTGGGAAACACCGTCCAGAGCTTCAGAGATCACAGCTTTCTGTCCGAGAAACTCTACACAGGCTCTCCTGATTATGGTCAGCAGCTGCACTTCATCATCAGCACCTGACTCACCCAGAATAACCACTGCAGACATTCATTTTCCTTCAGCTTATTCCTTTATTTATCAGGGGTCGCCACAGTGCAATGAACCGCCAACTATTCCAGCATATGTTTTATGCAGCGGATGCCCTTCCACACTGGGAAACACCCATACACACTCATTTATACACACACATACTCGACGGCCAATTTAGTTAATCAATTCCCCTAAAGCGCATGTGTTTGTGACTGTGCATGTGTTTGAAACCCACGCTAACATAGGGAGAACATGCAAACTCCACACTGAAACACCAACTGACCCAGCCGGGGCTCAAACCAGCGACCTTCTTGCTGTAAGGCCACAGTGCTAACCACTAAGCCACCATGCCACAACAACAACAGCAGGCATTGACAACCAAAAATAACACGGAAGTCAATTACTTTTTTTTCAAACATTCTTCAAATTGTCTTCCTTTGTGTCCAACATGTTTAAGGTCACCTCAATGTGATTAAATAGTAAGGAGATGTTTTTTAGGAGCTATCCCTTTTAATTTAGTTCACCCAAATATGCAAATTTACTCACTATTACCTGTTGAACACAATGGTAGATATTTTGAAGAATGCTGAAAAGCATTCTGTTGGAGAAACAAATACTATGGAAGTCAATGGTTACCGGTTTCCAACATTCTTTAAAATATAAATATATTATGGAAGTTGATAACTTTTTTCCCCAACATTCTTCAAATTAACTTTTTTGTGTTCAACAGAAGATGTTTAGAGCCACTTAAATGTAAGTAAATAGTAAGGTTTTATTTTGAGGTGAACTATCCCTTTAAATGGATAGTTCACCCCAAAATATGCAGATTTACTCACTATTCCCTCTCCCTTTATGAGTTTCTTTCTTCTGTAGAACACAGGAAGATATTTTGAAGAATGCTGAGAAGCGTTGACCTCCATTGTAGGAAAAACAAATACTATGGAAGTCAATGGTTACCGGTTTCCAACGTTCTTCAAAATATCTTCCTCTGTGTTCAGCAGAAGAAAGAAACTCAAACAGGTTTGGAACAAGTAAAGGATGAGTAAATGGTGACAGAATTGTGGGTGAACTCTCCCTTTACTCACTATTTACTCTCCCTTTATGGGTTCCATTGTGTTCAACAGATGAAAGGAAGATATTTTGAAGAATGCTGAAAAGCGTTGACTTCCACTGTTGGAGAAACAAATACTATGGAAGTCAATGGTTACCGGTTTCCAACATTCCTCAAAATATCTTCCTCTGTTTTCAACAGAAGACACTCAAACAGGTTTGGAACAAGTAAAGGATGAGTAAATGGTGACAGAACTGTGTGAACTCTCCCTTTACTCACTATTTACTCTGCCTTTATGAGTTTCTTTTGTTGAAATCAAAGGAAGATATTTTGAAGAATGCTGAAAAGCGTTGACTTCCATTGTAGGAGAAACAAATAGTATGAAAGGCAATGGTTACCGGTTTCCAACATTCTTTAAAATATCTTCTTCTGTGTTCAACAGAAGAAAGAAACACAAACAGATTTGGAACAAGTAAATGGTGACAGAATTGTGGGTGAACTCTCCCTTTACTCACCATTTCCTCTCCCTTTATGAGTTTCTTCTGTTGAACACAAAGGAAGATATTTTGAAGAATGCTGAAAAGAGTTGACTTCTACTGTAGGAGAAACAAATACTATGGAAGTCAATGGTTTCCGGTGTCCAACATTCTTCAAAATATCTTCCCCTGAGTTCAACAGAAGACAGAGACAGAATTGTGGGTGAACTCTAATATATTCCATAGTGGCTCTGTTTAGTAGTGGTTGTTAATTATAAGTTTACCATGGTAAATAATGCAGCTGCATGTGCTGATGTTTTATTGTTTAGTAAACGGTCTTCAGGCCAGAACCTTCGGCATCTGGACGCTCCTGTCCTCCATCATCCGATGTGCCTGTGCCATAGACATTCAGAACAGAACGTAAGGGTGTGTGTGTGTGTGTGTGTGTGCATAAGTATATGTGTGTGTATGAAAGTGTGAATGTGTATATCTCTATGTGTGTGATTGGAGTGTGTATCTGCATGAGTGTGAGTGTGTAGATTTGTTTGTGAGTGTGTTTATCTGTGCGTGCATGTGCGTAAGCATGAGCTGTTGTGTGAATGTGTGCATCTGTGTATGCAAGTTTGTGTGTGTGTACATGTGTATCTGTGTTCATACATGTGTGAGTGTGTATCTGAATGCAAGTGTGTATGTGTATGTCTGAGTGCAGGTTTGTGTGTGTGTGTGCGTGCATGTGTGAGTGTGTATCAGTAAGTGTGATTGTGTGTGTGTGTGTGTGTGTGTGTATCTGTATATGAATGTTTGTGAATGAGTGTGTGTGTGTTTCTGTTCGTGAGTGTGTATGTGAAATGCAAGTGTGTATAAGTGTGTGCATGTTTGTGAGAGTGTGTGTATGTGTCGGAGTGTATCTCTGTGTGTGCATGTTTGTGTATGTGTATGTGTGTGCGTATAGTTACTAAACTACCCTCTTTCTCTCTCCTGTCTCAGGCTTTATCACATCACCCTGTGGACGTTTGTTCTGGCTCTGGGCCACTTCCTGTCTGAAGCGTTCATCTACAGAACCGCTCCTCTGACCATTGGAGTGATGGCTCCTCTGATTGTAGCAGGTCGGTGATGATGACGATGATGAAGATGTGGAGATTCAGTCTTCAAGTTCATCTGCTGACTGTCGCTTTAAATGCAAATGAGATCGTGCTGTTTTCAGAAGAGGGCGGAGCTATAAACACCTACGTGTCAGCATAGTGATTCAAAACTAATGCCTAAAGGGCGGCGGCTTCTCACTCAGGGCTGTTTATGCTAATGAGCATGAGATGGTCACTAGTGGGCGGGTCTTTTCCCCCTCTGATGACATCATACAAAGGGAGAATGCCAATCAAAGTGTTTCTGCAGGCAGTTTCAGTCAAGTCTGGTTATAACCAATAGGATTAATACATGTCTACCATGTTAACCTCTGGTTATATTCACACACCGCCGACACACAACTCTGCTTAAACCCCTTATAAAAGTGATTTCTGCATAATAGGTGGCCTTTACTGCCAACTAAGTAAATGTTTTATTCACAATACATCCTAAAAAGAAAAGAGTGACCATGTTTGTGTTTCAGGTTTCTCCATCGTGGCGATGCTGTTTGGCTTCCAGTGTATCGTTGAGCCTCAGGAAGCGTCAGGAGCCCGACAGAAGAAGAGAAATTAAACTAAACATCCCTCTTTGAGGGCGGCACTGTGACTTCAGGGCAAGAAGGTCGCTGATTCGAGTCCCGGCTGGGTCAGTTGGCATTTCTGTGTGGAGTTTGCATGTTCTCCCCGAGTTAGTGTTGGTTTTCTCCGGCTGCTCCGGTTTCCCCAACAGTCCAAACACATGCGCTATAGGGGAATTGATTCATTAAATTGGCCATAGTGTATGAGTGTGTGTGTGTGAATGAGTGTGTATGGGTGTTTTCCAGGTTTGGGTTGCAGCTGGAAGGGCGTCCGCTGTGTAAAACATGCTGGAATAGTTGGGGAACATAAGCTGAATTCAAATGAATCTGATCTGAGGTCTCCGAAACATCCTTTTGACAGCGCTGAAAGTGGTTTAATACGAGCTTAATAATAATATATATAATAATATATATTATATATTAATATATATTAATAATAATTTAATAGTGCAGCGATGAAAACGGTTAAATAATAGCTATGAGTCTTTACAGTGGTACGAATGCAGACTTGGGCTCTCGAGCTCTGCGCTAAAAACCCTAATAAGTTGACTGAACTAAATTGAATTAACTTGTTGCCTCTATTTATTGAGTAATGGAGTTTCCCAAAACTTGCATATTTAAGTTCATTTAACTTGCCGGTTTTGTAGACTATAATTAAATTGTTAGTACTAAGTTTGGTGTACTGAACAATTTATATATGAAAAAATGGACTATGAAAAAATTATTAAATACATTTTAAACAAAAAATAAGTAGCATTTATTGACAATATGATGAATAATTATTCCTGAAGCCATTTGTTTTCTGATTATAAAAAGACCTTGCACTTAAAAGGTTGCACATATTAGAATTTTACAGTCAAGACTACATTTGTGAAAATTACCTGTTTTTTTAAAAAGGATTAATTATGATTTTGAGCTCACTACACTTAAAATCTTAAGTTTATGCATTTTCTTGGTACATAAGTTAAATTAACTCATTTTAAAGTGATAGGACCAAAATGCTAAATTTTAAGTTATGTTCAGTCAACTTTACTTAATCGTCTAAGTAAAGACAACATTAGGGTTTACAGTGTGGAAATGTAGTCTAAATGTATTTATCCTTAATTATCCTATAATGAATGTCAAGCAGAAGCCGTTAAATGAGAACATATTGTTTATTACTGCTGGTCATTTCACTGTTGAACACAAGAGGAGATATTTAGAAGAATGCTGAAGACCTGTAACTACTGACTAACCATAGTTTAATGACACTGTTATGAATGTTCAATAGTGACTATCATGCACAACACACATGCTCACAGACTGCATTGTATCCTTTGACTGAATTATATTAGATATTATTTGTATTATTCAATGTGAGATTTAATTTACTCCATCAAATTCTAGATTATCTACAAGATCAGTGGTTTATACAGCACACACATGGTCTTGCATAGGCAGTAGCTACAAAACGGCTACAGAAGAACGTTCTGCTAACGTTATGAACATGTTATGCTCTCTGAACAATCTTGTCAATTATTTTTGTGGTGATGCCAAGTTTGCCAATAGTAAAGGAACAAGCTGTTTTCTCATCTTGCCAAGATTATAAGACATCTAAATATGTTTAAGCAGCAACATTTAAAAAAACTAAACAATGTTTGAGAAATATTTAGTGATGGGTAACACTTCAGTTTAAGTACCAACTCACGCTGTTCATACTGGCTTTATTACCTGTCTATAATTACGATATTGGCTGTTTATTAGCATTTATAAAATACAGTATGATCTTATTCAACACCCCTAATCCTACTCAATGTCTAATCCCAACTACTACCTTAAAGGAATAGTTCATCTAAAACTGACACATCTTTTGTGTTTCGAGCCTTCATGCGTTTCTTTCCTCCGCACAAAAGAGGATATTTTGAAAAATGTTGAAAACCTGTAACCATTGACTGCTGTAGTATTTGTTTTTCCTGCTGTGGAGGTCAGGTTTACATCTTTTTCCAAAATACCTTCATTAGTGCTCAACAGAAACTCTTAAAGGTTTAAAACCACTTGAGGGAGAGTAAATGTGCACATTTGGGTGAACCATCCCTGAGTGAGCAAACTAAGAGTGATGCTGCAGTCACACTAGAGCAGTGGTTCTTAAACTGTGGTACGCAGGCTTCCTTCTAGTGGTACACGGAGGAATGAAATATGTCCTGTGCATGCAACACATTTAAAAATGTATCAAAAATGATGTATATAATATGCCATATATGACATATAGCCATTTCTGAGGTAATCTGCCACGTTTTTTTTAACTGTGCAGAGTTGTAGCTGCTTTACTGGGCCTAATACGTTACTGTATTTCAGTACTGCTCATTTTTGGTGGTACTTGGAGAGACTATTTTTTTCTGAGGTGGTACTTGATGAAAAAAGTTTGAGAACCACTGCATTAGAGTTTGAACATGCAAAATTCTGACCTATGGGTCTGTGAAAAGGGGCGGGATTAAACAAGATGATTAGACATTTAAAAAGCAAGCGATTGGTCTATATTTAAAATTTCTGTCCAGAGAGGTCATGCTTTGATCTTCAATTGGTCTTATGCAATCATGTGATGCGATTTCGCAGGTCAGACTTCACCAAGCTTGAACTTTCCAGTGCAGCGAACTGTGAAACTTGTCGCACGAGCTTGCGTTTCCAGTCTACCGAATTGGCATGGGTATGAATGGAAGTCTATGGTGAGAAAAGTCCAGTGCGACCGCGGCTTCAAAATGACTAGGAATCATAGGTATTTTTTATTCATGGAGAGAATTGAACCTCAAACTGAAGTGTGACCACATGACGTTTTAAAAACATAACTGGTCCCACTTTATATTAAGTGTCCTTAACCACTATGTACTTGCATCAAAAAATAAATACAATGTACTTACTGTGTTCATAAAGTATTTGAGAGCACTTGTGGTGCTCTTGAGTTGAGATAGGGGTTGGGTTACGGACAGGTTTGGTGGTATGGGCAGGTTTAAGGGTGGGTTAAGGTGTAGGGAATGGTTAGCAGTGTATTTACAAATGTAATTACAGAAGTTAATTACAGATGTAATTACATACAGGTATTTAATCAAGCATAAGTACACAATAAATACATGTATTTACACAATAAGTACATTGTAACAAACTATTAATTCCTGTGTAAGTATATATTAGTTACGGCCACTTAATATAAAGTGGGACCACATAACTAAAGAGCAGATATCTAATAGCAAACATTCTATGAATGTTCCTAGAAGAACGTTTGTTTGCTAGTTGAACTCGAAGACCTAACAAATGAAGGAAAACAGCAGTGCTAAAAATCCTCACTGTACTCCCTTCCAAAGTTGCTGAATTTGCTTAGTTTCTTGATATTATAAGCCATAAATGAACAAAGCTCAATAAATGATTATTTGTGATGTCCTTAGTAAATCATCCAGTGAAGCGGTTTCAGCAGTATGTCCTGTACAGATTTGAATATTTTCATTAAATGTTTTGTAATTTACAATAATTTCATTAAATCAGTTGGTTTTGGATCAGAAAGAGTCCATCAGTAGTGCATTTTACACACACACAAACAGAATTGCATGTGTGGTTTATGAGGACTCTCCATAGGTGTAATGTATTTTATACTGTTTAAAAAAAAAAGAAATATATATATATATATATATACACACACACACAGTTGAAGTCAGAATTATTAGCCCCCTTTTGATTTTTATTTTCTTTTTTAAATATTTCCCAAATGATGTTTAACAGAGCAATGACATTTTTACATTATGTCTGATAATATTTTTTCTTCTGGAGAAAGTCTCATTTGTTTTATTTTGGCTAGAATAAAAGTAGTTATTAATTTTTTAAAAAACATTTTTTAGACAAAATAATTATCCACTTAAAGCTAATTTTTTTTCTCAATAGTCTACAGAACAAACCATCATTATACAATAACTTGCCTAATTACCCTGACCTGCCTAGTTCACCTAATTAACCTAGTTAAGCCTTTAAATGTCACTTTAAGCTGTATAGAAGTGTCTTGAAAAATATCTAATTAAATATTATTTACTGTCATCATGGCAAAGAGAAAATAAATCTGTTATTAGAAATAAGTTTTTAAAGTTATTATGCTTAGAAATGTGCTGAAACAATCTTCCCTCCATTAAACAGAAATTGGGGGAAAAAAACAAACAGGGGCGCTAATAATACAGGGGGACAAATAATTCTGACTTCAACTGTGTATGTATATATATATATCTGGCCTTACAGATCTGGCCTTACACCAACCCTTACAGGAACCCTCTGGACAATTTTAAATGTCAAAAGATGCCATTAAGTATTATTTTCATTCATAATGAATTACAAGGACAAAAGGCATGTCCTCGTAAATCACCTCAATGTTGTAAGGTCTTCACCCATGTCGTTGTACAATTGTGTATCCTTGTAAACCACATAAACAAGTACACACACACAGACAATGCAGCCCACATTAATCTCACTTCAATCTCAATTGATCACATTCATCATTCAGTGAACACTGATATGTTTATATATATACACACACACACACACACCGGCCACCTTACACCTGTGCAATTGGAGAAACGTTGCTGCTCTGATGAGTCTCCATTTCTGCTGACACATTCGGATGCTCGGCTCACAATTTGGCCTCAACAACATGAAAGCATGGATCATCCTGCCTTGTATCAGCGGTTCAGGCTGGTGGTGGTGGTGTAATGGTGTGGGGGAGATTTTCTTTGGGTTCATTAGTACCAATTGAGCATCAACGCCACAGCCTACCTGAGTATTGCTGCTGACCATGTCCATCCCTTTATGAGCACAGTGTCTCCATCTTCTGATGGCTACTTCCAGCAGGATAACGCAGCATGTCATAAAGCTCAATCATCTCAGACTGGTTTCTTGAACACGACGATGAGTTCACTGTACTCAAATGGCCTCCACAGTCACCAGAGCTCAAGCAGCTTTGGGAGTGCTGAAGGCAAAAGGGGGTCCAATCCGGTAGTGGTAAGGTGCACCTAATAAAGTGGCCGGTAAGTGTGTGTGTTCACCCAAAAAATTGAAATACACAGTTAATGTACTCACTCTCAGGCCATTAAAATGTAGGTGCCTTTCTTCAGTGAAGGACTTGCTGAATCGGTGGTCCTTGGCGATTTATACAATGCAAGTCAATGGTCACGTGTTAATAAATAGGCATGCACCAAATTATCAGCCACCTATAATAATAATATTGCGATCTCCAGCATCGACATCTTACCTGAACACATCTACAGCAACACTTACTGTAGCACGCTTCAAGTGAAAAGTAAAAGTCAGAGGAACCGTCGTGCCAAACACACACAGCACAACAGGTTCAGCCTCATTCATGAAGAAAGCTAGTGAAGTGGTCATAAACCAGACTTCTGGAATGATTCAATGCAGCCCACATATAATCCGAATAAAACAAGTGTTGTGTTTTCACTCCTTGTGTGTTTCATTGAGTCTTTACATCTTCACCTCTTTCACCGGTAATGTTTCTCCATGTTGAGGATGAACAGATGAGTCCTAAAAGAAAAGAAAGAATATAAATTCAGCAATCCATTCACAACCACCACATGATATATGTTCACTATGATATCAGTTACTTTAAAAAAAGTGAGTACACCTTTTTGAACTTAAAAATGTTACGTTGATTTAACTTAATTTCTTTTAATTACACATTATTCAAAAAGGTAATGGTTTGCACTCATCAAGTAATTGCTTCATACTGTTTTTATTTGTACGTTCTTCGGGAGATTCAAAAACGCAAACGTTTCGGCACAATGCCTTCCTCAGGGTGTGATACAATCCTCTCGCTCCACCCTTTTATCCCATAGTCAATTACACTGCGTCAATAGACGGCCACTCGATGATCTCATTTTCATTTCATTATTCCATGATTAACCACGAAAGGACCATTAACCTTCATATTTAAAACATTATTTCACAGAGTAACAGCATCTCACTCATCATCATCTGCCAAGTGTACATCAACACAATGAAAATCCGACAGTCCAAAACATTACAATTTATATTTGTTGTATTGTGTCAATGATCTAGACGGCTACTCGATGATTACCAACAGTCTCTTTTTCATTTCAATATATCATAATCAACCACACGAGAAATACCCTTACCTTCAAAAACATTATTTTATAGGAAAATAGCATGTCACACACACACACACACACACACACATATATATATATATATATATATATATATATATATATATATATATATATATATATATATATATATATATATATATATATATATATATATATATATATATATATATATATATATATATATATATATATATATATATATATATATATATATATATATATATATATATATATATATATATATATATATATATATATATATATATATATATATATATATATATATATATATATATATATATATATATATATATATATATATATATATATATATATATATATATATATATATATATATATATATATATATATATATATATATATATATATATATATATATATATATATATATATATATATATATATATATATATATATATATATATATATATAT